CTCCCTCCGTCCCCCTGTATTTGTCCACTTTCATTTTTGCACACCATCCAATGCACTTCTTTAATCTATTTTATCTTGTAATTTGTATATTAAAAAATTATATATTAATAATCTATATGTTAAGACAAATCAAACAAGATCACACATGACTATATTTAGGCTTACACATTGAGAGAATTTGATGAGTCAAAGTGCTTAGATGAACAGTTCCAAAAATCAAATGTGGACAAATACAGGGGGACGGAGGGAGTATTATAGTTCTTCAATCACGCATACGAATTTGGTGAATATGACAATTATGAGGCTGGGGATTAGACAATTTTAAGGTAGTGTTGGATGTGGATGAAGAAGGTAGCTAGGGTTGATGTTTTGTTTGATTTTGGTAGAGCGTCTTATAGGAGAATTTTCTGGTAGTGGGGAGGACTGAGGAGCATTGATTGGAAGAAGAACAATGGTCTGACAGACGGCTAATGGTGACGCGGATTGTCAGGAGTGAATTTTTTTTATGTTATCAATAACAGTAACTTTGATATCATATTGAATAATAAAGTAATTGTATTACTCAATGAATGACTGAATACATGTTAGAGCATATATATTGAAGTAAAATCCAAACAAAATATAAATGTTAATAATAGAAACGAACTAAAATACAGAAACTATCATAATAGACATAATTATTACTCTGTACTACTTAATTTTGTTAAATCAACACCCATTAATATAACTAACGATTCTTTGATTTATCAAAATTTAACAAAAAAAATATGAATATAGCCTAGGGGTCGACAATTAGCATCAGTCTTAAATCTCAATTTGTATTTGAAATTTCCTCCAAGAAAATCTACATTTGAAATAATAAAAATTCGAATCCAGAAAAACAAGAGCCGTCTCAGAGCTTCTTCACTTCTCCTCTAGCCGCCACCATCTCCTATAAATTGCGAGGATGGAAACTGCAGAAGCTTTCATCAGAAGAAGAAGAAGAAAAAGAAAAGCTCAGAAATGGCAGAAAAGGCCGGCGAAGAGAAGCAGCAGCATGAAACTCTTCCTCTTCTCACTCCTTACAAAATGGGCAATTTTCAATTATCCCACAGGTAAAAAAAACCCCTCTTTCTGTCAATCCTTTTCTTCTTCTTCAATTCTCCTCAATTTATCTTCAATCCCATCAATTAATCAGTAAAACTAGCAATATTATTAGCGTTCATGGAGATGTTTATGAATTATGACAAATCACCAGTTCATTATACTTCCTAGTTCTTCACATAGTTATAGATCTGACCAAATCTGTTCATGAAAATGTCTGAAACAGAATTGTTCTGGCGCCCCTGACGAGGCAGAGATCTTACAGAAACGTTCCTCAGCCTCACGCCATTTTATATTACTCCCAGAGAACCACAAATGGGGGGCTTCTCATTGCAGAAGCCACTGGAGTTTCCGACACCGCCCAAGGGTAATTTTTTTTGTAATTCTTCCACTTCAACAACTTTTTTTTTGTTCTCCTTATATCTTCATAAGATCACTTAGGGTTTGTTTGGCGAGTTTTGGAGGGTTGAAATGATATGTGTTATGAATTTTGGAAGAAATGAATTGCGCTCTGAAAATCTGAAATCAAAATGTTTGGAGAAATCTAAAATGATGATCGTTAGTGATAAGGGACTAAGGACGCTATCAAAATTCCCAAATCGATATCTCTCAAAATTAGGAGATATCACCCCATTTCGGGGGGTTTTGACACGATATGGGAAGATATAACCACAAAAGGGTTTTAATATCCGGAGTTATTAAAACCCATATCTCATGCACTCGCCAAATGAGCTATTACTTGCCTTGTTCACTTCAAAAAAAGGAGAACACAACTAAAAACCCACTAAATGACCCTTTTGTAGGGTTTATGGGGGTAAGATTTATGGAGGTTTCAAACTCTACTCGATGAAGTAGAGACATTGTTTCCAAAAAGACTTTCTACTTAAAAATTACTTTAAAAAATACTGTATTTGAACAATGATGGGCAGATATCCGGATACACCTGGTATATGGACAAAGGAGCAGGTTGAGGCTTGGAAGCCCATTGTGGATGCAGTGCATGCTAAAGGTGGCATCTTCTTCTGCCAGATTTGGCATTGTGGTAGAGTTTCAAATTCAGGTATTCTTGGCTTTCTTAGCTTCTTAGTATCGTATCTTCTGGCTTCAAACTAAGCACTTGATCAAGGTTATATGAGCTTAGCACACCATTTATGTTAGGAAATACTTCCCCCGCGTTCCTTCTAATAAGGCATATTTGATAGGATATAATTTAGACACTTGTTTTTTGACCTTATAATTTGTGCTCTATCTTTTTTCTAGTTCATTCGTCTCATTGGATTTCCTGCAGGTTTTCAGCCTAACGGGCAGCAGCCGATCTCCAGCACAGATAAGGCATTAACTCCCCAAGTACGATCCAATGGCATCGATGTTGCTCCATTTACACCTCCACGCCGTTTAAGGACTGACGAGATCCCTCAGATCATCAATGATTTCAGGCTTGCTGCAAGAAATGCTATCGAAGCCGGTATTTCTTTTCTCTAGAATATCTAGACTTCATTACTTCCAAGGCTTTTCGTCTTATCTTATCTGATTTTTTGAAGATCAGGTGTAATGATTTGATTGTAGTTATATTTAAAGTTGTTTCTGATATGGTCTGATCAGATTTTAATAAGAATAAGTAATAAGCTGGAAAAAAATAAATTGAACGGAACGGACCCCAAGTAGGGATAAGGTCTCCGCACGCTCACCCTCCCTAGCACCTTATTATGTGTGAGATTTTACTGGATTTGCTGTCGTTTTTTAGGTTTCGATGGAGTGGAGATCCACGGGGCCCACGGGTATCTGATCGACCAGTTCCTGAAAGACCAAGTGAACGACCGGACCGACCAATACGGGGGATCTCTGGAGAACCGGTGCAGGCTGGCATTGGAGATAGTCGAAGTTGTGAGCAATGAGATCGGATCTGACAAGGTAGGAATAAGGCTCTCCCCCTTTGCTGACTACATGGAGAGTGGGGACTCTAACCCCAAGGCCTTGGGACTTTACCTGGCTGAATCATTGAACAAGTTTGGGGTTCTCTACTGCCACATGGTTGAGCCAAGAATGAAGACCGTGGGTGAGAAGTCGCCGGAATGCCCCCACAGTCTTTTGCCAATGAGAGAGGCCTTCAAAGGGACTTTCATGGTCGCCGGAGGGTATGATAGGGAAGATGGGGCCAATGCCGTTGCCGAAAACCGGGCTGATCTTGTGGCTTATGGTCGCTGGTTCTTGGCGAATCCGGATTTGCCCAAGAGGTTTGAGATCAATGCCCCTCTCAACAAGTATAACCGTGAGACGTTCTATCTCTCGGACCCGGTTGTCGGGTACACGGACTATCCGTTTCTTGAAACCACTGCTTGATCATATAGGAGTAAATTCTATAAATGATCCCTAATTACAGCTGGTTTTCCATATTTAGTATCCAATTCTAAGATATTCCATAAATGATCTTCAAAAATTGAAGATCATTTATCTAATATTTTCGAATTGAGAATTAAATATAAAAAAATATTTGTAAGTAGGGACTATTTATGAAATTTACTCATCATCATATAGTGTTCAATGCCTTGGCCTCCATTAGAAGTTCAAAGGTTTCAATCTCAGGACATCTGTGTTGTTGTATTGTTCGGATTTGTTTTTGTTCCTTTAAAAAAAAATAAATGTTTGTGGTCTGGATGATGCATATATATACATTAAAAGCTCCTTTTTTTTCACTAAGATATATATACAATATTAGAAAATTTATTTATATTTACAGAGGTGTGGTTTAACTGTGATAGTAGCATAGGTCTTTTAAAGCATTTAATATGTTTTGTGACATTTTTTATGTGCCAAAGTTAAATATAATTATGTTTAGCTGTCCTGAAATACTTTTTTATACTCCCTCCGTCCCATATCTTTCTTCTCACTTTTCTTTTTAGGTCGTCCCATTTGATTCTTCCCGTTTCCTAAAATGGAAAAAAATTACACCCAAAGTTACTCTTTTACCCTTTTATTCTCCCTCTCACCCCCGACCCAAATTATCTCCTGTTCTTTTATTTTCTCTTCTTTGATTTTCGTTCTTCACTCAGACCCCCCATCCCTTCTTATTCGTCTTCTTCCTTCTTCTCTGTGTCGAGCATCCTCCCTTCTTCCTCGTTCTATTTCTCCTTCCCCTCTCCTTCTCTCTCTCCTCCTCTTCTTCTTCTTCATCCGGCAACCCTCGCCACAGCGTGACATGGAAGATGCAATGAAGGGACAACAATGAAAGAGGGGGCGACGAACCTTTCAGATCTAGGCGGACAGCGAAGCTTTTAGATCTGATTTCAACTTTTAATTTTCAATTTTTAATGTTTTGATTTTGATTGTGAAGAAGTTTTCATATTTGATTTTGAAGGTGTGAGATGTGGGCAGGTTGGAATGGAACTCTCATATTTCAGTTTTAGGAGTAATTGATTTGTGACAATGGAGTTAGGCAGGTTGGATGATGGAGTGAAGAAGACGTGAGGGTGGGTGAAAGGGTAAAATTGGAAATCCATCATCTTTTTCACTTTACATTAAAATCCGTGCAAAGTCAAAACGAGAAGTTTCAACCGGGACGGAGGGAGTATATATAATGGAGAATAACTTGCCCTTGATGTATACATCAAATTTACATTATGTACCTCCTAAATTACATACATTTAAAATTTGTATTATGTGCAAAAAAATGTGTGCCATGTAATTATATTTTTATCCTTTTCACAGATTGGAAGGATTCAAAATGAGCATTGTACAATTATTTAATGTACGCATGTCAATTTCATAATTTGATTTGAATTTTTTTTGTCAAATGTTGATATTCTTTGATTATAAAATAAACATAATTTAAATAAATATTATAAAAATTTGATGTATTAAAACTATATCTTAAGATTAACCCATTTATAATAAAATTATATTATACTCTCATGGCTAAAAATATTTTTCATAATTTATGGTCAAATAATATCACTGTTTGACTAAAAAGTCAAAACAAGAAGGTTTTGCTGGGACAAAAAGAGTATAATTGAAGGAATGAAGATACCTCATGCCCATCATTTTTTTTCAACCATACATGCGAAGAAAGAGGTAAAAATGCACTACTTTTAAAAGTTTGACATGGACTTATCATCCCAATCAAGAATGGCATTCCAAAACAAGAATTGCAAACATATATTGCATTCTATTTCATAAAAAAACAGTTACAGATTCCAATGAGCTTCTTCAGCGAACTTTACGCACTTTTTCTTCGTGTCCCAAGCCTAAAGATTTCTGCGCATCTGCTATTCCTTCAGGATCTGAACAAATGAGAAATCAAAATTAGAACCAGTTACGGCTTAGGCGCTCAAAAACAAGAGGCGCGTGTCTATTAGAGCATGTGACAACTTGGGGCAAAAAGCCCAAAGTTGCATTTAAAGGGGATCTTGAAGATATAATCCCACATGGGAAATGAAAATATATAATAATATGATTTGCTCCTCCCATTGCCAATTAGTTTTGGGTTGGAAACTCATAATTCAAGAATGATGATGATGACATGTATGGTTATGCTAATAAATGAAACTCCATGGGCAGAAGCTTACTGACCAAAGAACTGCGTAAAGATGCGGGTGAAGAAGCTCAAGTTGCGAGAAACATTATATTGCATTGATATAGGGAGAGGTTTGACAACGGTGTCAACACTGAAAACATGCTGCAGAAACTGCACGAGTGGAAATGTCACCGATTCAGTTAGGCAAATAGCTTATCCCAGTTTCAAAATTTTGACAAAATTTGAAACAAGACAACAACAAAGACAACAACAACAACAACAACAACAACAACAAGCAAGCAAACCCAGTAAGATTCCACAGAAATGGGGAAGTGGAGGAGAGAGTGTGTGTATGCAGCAAATCTCACGTCTATAGAACCAACACAGACAAGAACACACAAAAAAATCAACACAATGCTGCCAAAATGAAGGCAAGAGAAACCAAACGTACTCACTTGTTCATAAATTAACACTAACACAGTAACACTATGTTTAGTTCAAGGAATTTGGAAGGAAAAGAAAAGAAAATGGTTTCCTTTCATTTTCCTAACTAAAATGGGAGAAATTTGATTTTCCCTCCACTTGGTATATTTTGCCTTCTTATATTCATTTCCCCTCTAATCAAATAAGAAAAATTGTTTTCCACTTCATTTTCTTTTCTTTTCCCTTACAAATTCTTTGAACCAAAGATAGTGTAAAAATTCATGAAAAAAAATAGTATAAACATTCTACACCAAATGCTCTTTGTGCCACAATATCAATATGAAGGAATAAGGAATTGCTAAAATGCCTGGATAAAAGACACTACAGTAAAATTCTTCAAGAACTTTTTTTCCATTAAATGGTGTTTGAGAATAAAAGACAAAAGATTGCACCATATAGAAAGGTAATATTTTTCAAATGTAATGCATATCGTCTTGGAATTATAAATTGACAACCACTAAGAAACAAAAGGAAGTGTGTGAAAAACATTGTTTAAAGATAAATTTCACTGATACATCTAAACGGATGTCTTTTCACTCTTTTACACTCACTCCCTCACAATGAAGTTTGCATTTTAACTTCATGGAAATTGAGAAAACTGTGTGGTTGTAATTTGTTTAGAAGAGTGAAAAATGTTATGAGCCACACATATTCTTTTCCCTAAGAGGAAATGAGAAAATTGTACATTTTTATTTTCGGTCAAACAAAAAAGGAAAGTGTATACTCCCTTGTCCCAAAATAAAATTTATGATCTGGTTTAATTACTTTTAAGAAGTGTTGGAAAGTGAGAAATGTATGGTTATATTTTGTTTAGAAGAAGAGAAATGATTTGAACCACACACACCTTTCCTTAAAAAGGAAACGAGAAAAGTATGAAGTTTATTTTGAGATGGACGGACGAGGAAAATGTGAAGTGTATTTTGGTACACAAGGAGTATTTCATTGCGGGAGGGAAACATTTTAAATTGACGGCATGGTTAGATCTTAATGTATCATTTTCATTCCCTATGATTTCAACAATAATGACAATATGACATTGCTTACACTGACTAAATGAAGTCATGAAACAATAAAGTAGCACCATTTCACGACATGGTTAAACCCCATTTTCTTCCGGCATCTTCTTTAAGGTTGCACTCACAACTCACATTGAGTCGCTCCCCGGTCCAGTCTTAGTAACTTATGTCCTACGCCATCCTCGTCCATCGAGAACTCTTACGCGTTGAGGTTGGCTTAATTTTCAGTCTTTAACAACATTGTAAATATTCAATGAAGGGCAATCTCAGCTATCATGAAGCAATCACATCATTTAGAGACTAAAATTTTGAGGAATATGGAACATCAAACCGAATGCCAAAATTCATACCATCCCCAAAAAACCAAAACTATAGTTCAAACCCAATAAAACCAGAAACTCCCATTAGTTTGAAGTCATTCCATCAAAAACCGCAAAATAATCTGCAATTATAAACCCTTCATTACCAAACTAGAAAACATAAAGAAGCAAACACCATAGCCAGAACCAATCGTGTCAAATCCAGGCAAAACAAAACCCAGGGTTTTAAACTGCAATTCAAAAAATAAACACAGAGATGGTAAAAGAGGTAAAGGAGACCTTGAAATTCCGCTGGAAGCTATAACGAAGCTGAGGATCGATTTCGATTAGAGGATCGTCGTCGTCTTGGAGCGCGTTGGGGTTTGATCCGGCGGAGTCCTTCGCAGGGACGTGCATAGTTGGAGTCGAACCCGGCTCGCGCGTGACCTTCATCTTCGCATCTTTGAACTTTTCGTCTTCCTCGGATCCCACCCTCCACGGGGCCGACTTCAGAAGTTCCTTCTTCCCTTTCGCCATTTCACTACGCTTCTCCAATCAGAGAGAGAGAGAGCGAGAGAGAGAGCAACTGGATTGGACCGCAAGGTGGGGTTTATCTCACTGTCAACTGTTATACGACGTCGTTCTAGCATTGGAAAGATTGGAGAAGGAAAAAAGGCTAAAATAGGAGTATAATAATGAAAATATATCAAAATAATAATTTTATGTTTTATTTTTGAAATAGGATTTAAATTACATTTACAGCATCACCATATACATTACCAAAAGATATTACGTACTTCTACATTACTATAGTGTGAACTCCTATTTTGGGATGAATATATGAAGCTCTTATCCTGATACTCTCTCAACATTTTACTTCTATTTAAAATGATTTCTTTTCATCATAAAAAAGATGATCCTAATTTCTAAGCGGTTATAGTAATCTTGCTTTTATCAATTACTCTAACGTAGACTGGATGAGTTGTATACTTACACGATGTTTCGTTAGTGGATATTTCTTTATATTGGAAGGATCACCAATTTTTAGGCAGACGAAGAAATATAATATTGTCTCTGAGTCGTATGCTAAAACCGAATATCGTGCTATGGCAAATGCATATTTTAAGGCAATCGTTGGATACAAGGATTATTGGCTGCTTTGTGCGTCTCTTGTGTAGCTATTCCAAAATTTTATTGTGACAATAAATCAACTTTGTTCTATGTCATAAATTATGTGTTTCACGAACAATCTAAACATATTGATATTGACTATCATATAATTAGGTAATGTGTGCAACATAAAGAGGTCACTAGTGCTTCTGTTGCTACATGAAGACACTAATTAGTCCTTTATTACTGCTGATATATTCACGAAGACATTAGCTAGCCCTTTTTTCTATTTTTGTTATACAAATTGAACATTTATAACAATCATATGCCAATTTGAGAGAGGCAATATTGATTACTTCTGTGTTTACAATCAAGTTCAATTTCCATACTTCCTTCGTTCATCAAAATAGGTCCTATTTTGACTAAGAGAAAAAATAAGAAGTGTATATTTATAATTGACTTTCTAGTTTTACTTTTGATGTGATGAATAAAAGTAAGATGTGATGAATAGATTATTAGTGAAAAAATATGATGTGCTAGGTAGGATAGAGATTAGAAGGGTAAAATTGTTTTTTAATAGAAAATGAAAGTATTTTGGTGAAAGAGAAAAATGAAAGAGAAAGTATTTTAGTTAACGGATAAGTATTATTTTACGATTAACTTTTTTAAAACATGGAAATCTAATATATGATATTTTTATCAATTTTCATTAATAAAGATATTATCTATGTTGTAAAAAACATTTTTTTCATTAAAAATGTAAGAAATCACCCAAATATGAGTAAAATATAAAAAAAAGTATCAAATTAAGAGCTCCACATTTTTATTTTCAAAATAGGAGTTTGCACTATATATGAATATTATTTCACAATACTTTTTTATAATATATATGTCATAATTGACACTTTATATAATTTTTAACTCATATTTCGTTAATGGATATTCCTTTATCTTGGAAGGATCTCCTATTTTTAGGCAGACGAAGAAATATAAAACTGTGTCTCATTCGTATTTTCGTATGTTGAAATCGAATGTCGTGTTATAGCTAATGCATATTTTAAGGCAGCAATTTGTTGGATACAAGGATTATTGGCTGCTTTGTGCGTCTCTTGTGTAGCTATTCCAAGGTTTCATTTTGACAATAAATCAACTTTGTTCTTTGTCGCAAATCATGTGTTTCCCGAACAATCTAAATACAATGATAGTGACTATCATATAGTTCGGGAATGTGTGCAACGTAAGGAGGTCACTACTACTTCTACCCGAAGACATTAATTAGTCTTATTTTGACTAAGAGAAGAAATAAGATGTGTATATTTATACTTAAATTTCTAATATTGTACTTGATGTGATGAGTAAAGTAAAAGTATGATGAATAGATTATTAATGAAAAAGTATAATGTGCTAGGTAGGGTAGAGATTAGTAGGGTAAAATTGGGGTTTTTAAAAGAAAATAAGTGTTTTAGAAAAAGATAAAAAATGATAGAAGAAGTATTTTAGTTAACGAACAAAGAATTGTTTTACGATTAACTTTTTAAAAACATGAAAATCTAATGTATGATATTTTTATCACTTTTCATAAATAAAATCTTTATCTATGTTCCCTACAAAAAACTGCTTAAATAGCGATGAAAATTTTCCGTCGCCAAAGACATACTTCCGTAGCTAATTGGCCTTAACGACAGAATTAACGACGGTAGCATTTTCTTCGTTAATTTTTCGTTAGTATTCACTTTGCCAACGGTTTTTTGAAATCCGTTGCTATGCAACGAAACGATGGAAATAGCGACGGAAAAAGGGCGACGGTGAGCCAAAACGGCAGCGTTTAAGTTAATTGATCGTTGCAAAAAACATATTTTTTTATGAATTAAAAATGTAAGAAATCATCCTGAATAGGCCAGGAGTAAAATATTGAAAAATTATCAAATAGAAGCTCCACTTTTTTATTTCCAAAATAAGAGTTTGTACTGTATATATGAATATTTCAAAATACTACGTACTTTTTAACTCATATTTTAGAAATTAAAATATGAAATTTTTATATTGGTATATATTTTCGATCAATGTTTTACTTTTACTTTAGTTTTTTTCCCTAAAAATGTTTGTTTTATACTTTTATCTGACGAATTTGTTTTCTTAAAAAATTATTATTTTCAAATTTGTTTTCTAAAAAACTTTAGTTTTCTTATCAAATTGTTAGATAAAAAGAAGTTTTCACTATTAACTTAACCACTCGTTCAAAGAAAAGAAAAATAAGAATATTTTTGCGATATGTTTAATATTTTTTTAACGAAAAATGAAAAAAAACATATATCACATTGCCCAGTAGAAAAGGATTTTTTTATAAGTATATATTTATGATTGGAGAAAATTGACAAGATGCAAATTTGTTAAGAAACAATAAGAAAAATATTAGAAAAATATATAATTTAAAAAAGAATAAAGATTTGATTCGTTAAAAAGAATTATGTTCAAAATATTTAAGTGATACTAACCAATCAATGACATTAATGCATGACAGAAAGAAAAAAGAAGTGACATTTTTTAATACTTTATCATTAGGGAAAATAAAATATTCTTGTTGCCGCTTATTTTGTAGAACTTTTGATGTAATTTTTAAATATTTATTTTTTATTTCAATATTTATTTGTAAATAAAATTATTTTAAAAGTTATGAGGTTTTGCATGTTGTTCGAAAAAGGAATATCATTTTTGGATGGAGGGAGTATATAAGTAAGAAAAATCACCCTAAATAGCAATAAAACATAGAGAAAATATCAAACTAGGAGTTCCATGTTTTTATTTCCTATATAGGAGTTCGCTCTGTGGTAATGTGACATCATTGTACATGTGCACTATACAAAACTTTTTAGTAATGTAGATGATCATGATTTGTAATGTAAATATATTTTAACACCTATTTCGTGAATAAAAACATGGAAATCCTATTTTGGTATATTTTCAATATTTTACTCATATTTTAGTCTTTTTTTCTATATAAGTCAAGTTTTGGATCTATCTATCTTTAATTTTTAACCGGGCAGTTTATCTGAATAGTACTAAAGTATAATACTCCTTTTGCCCCAATTTAAATCATTTGTTGTTGTTTACGAGTTTGACTGAAATTATTTCCAATTCAATTTATTTGAAAATTAGTAAGAAATTTAAAATTAAATTTTTTATATTTAAAAACTACCTCAAAAATTCTACAAAATAAGAGGTAACAAGACTATATTTTTTTTCAAATAAGTAGCAAAAACGGATAAAGAACGTGGTTAAAATTTGACCATCCATGTAAATAGTAAACAAACAACTTAAATTGAAACGGAAAGAGTAACTTCTAGTATTTTTTTAAATAATTAGGGAGATAAATCAACTAGAAATAAAATGCTTCATATACAAAATTACAAAAATATGTCATTTAATAAACTTATACTAAAATGAGATTTATACTAACGAATAATGTAAAAACATAATCGCAATAAACATTGTATAATGCAACATGGAATGCTAAATAGCACTTAAACTATTTTAATTTATTTTCTAAATAGTACTTAATAATGTCCATAATGTCCAATGACTAATGAATAATGACTAAAAGTGCTTGCTACATTGAAAAAAAACACATTTGGTGTTATTTAGGGAAAACCATTATTTTTAGTGTTATTTAAGTAAATTCCACTGAAAAAAATGTAGGACTTCTATAGGTATAAATTTCATATTTTTAATTTGTCTTATTCGGATAGATTAATTAATTAATTAATTATTAATTCCATATACTACTCCGGGGTACTGTTGTGGAAGCTTAGTTGCGGAGCGATCATGTCCCCTTCTCAAGTCTTATTGTCTCTTGTTCTATAAAACTAGTATTTCTATCCGTGCAATGCACGGGTTCGGACGAATATCTTGTCGATTCTGAATTTATTCGATGCAATATTTTTTTCCGGAATAAAGGAAATATACCTCATGCATGATTTATAATAACACAAAAGAAAGGCAAAGTAAAAAGAATAATATTTGAGGAATTGAATCTACACACGACAAAGTTTGCTTTAATACCAAATTTTTTGAAAGATTTCAGGGTATACAACATTTTTTGTATGACTGCAATAGTTTTCACTCGCGGAATAACAACATAAAGCTAATCGTGAGTGAACATTGACTTGGTTAAACATAATCCAACAAATGTCAGTATTTGACCTTGACTTTTATTAATGGTTGCATAAGAAACAAATCTATCGAATACAACGATTGGGCAAACAATCAAAAACAATATTATTCAAAATCAGTCAAAAAAGAAATGTGTAAAATTTAACATTCTGTCATTTGTGAGATATTCCAAATACTTCTATATGATCTAGGATTATGCTATGTGTACCCCAAATTTTGTACCCCAATTTGTACCCCGCAGTTTTGCACCGACACTTTGTGTTGGTGTAAAACTAATTTTTGTTAAATACACCAACATTTGTGTCCGTGTGAATTTTTATTAACGCACCAACA